CCTGAGGGACAAACTACTTAGGGCAGAGTTAAGGTTGTTGTGTGGGAAGAGTCACCTTAGTTCTATATTTCCATTTTCCAATCTTTGTTCCTGTAACGCTAACCTTCTTGAAGGGGACCTTAACTTTGGTTTGCCCATGTTTGAGTTTGGGAATTAAACTAATGTTCTGGAAGGGCATGAAGAGCATAGGGCAGTGCTAAGCACCTGCAATATGACCTCCACGTTAATTGTTTTTGTATGATATGCATAAGGTGTATATGTCAGCCGTGATGTTTTTCTGTAAAGAGATTAAGTTCCAAAAACAGGAAACCAGTATAACAGTACATTGCTGTTATAAATAGCACTTGTCCAACTGCACTAGTTAATTTATGTTACATATTGCTGTTTGCTGTTGTCCACTGGCAGACATATGCTTTGCACAGTGTTTTATTTTAGTCCCATAACTAAAGCATTAATCATCATAGTGTATTCACCGGGGCTTAAGCTTGAGTCCATGTAAACTACCATCTCGATTGTCTAGGAATGCTGGGGAACAGATAAGAATAATATTGTTGTACCTAATATTCTATTGTGTATAATTAGTTTGGATATCTGTGACTGGAGTCCCAGGGGAGCCAATTGAGGTCACTCAATTAGGATGAACTGCAAAGAATGGGGCAAACAATCCCCAAAGCTGGTGGATATTCTAATACTTGGATTTACCAAGCCAGCACAAAACAGCTTCTATAATACCTCACTGGTTACCCAGAAGCCAACAACACAGTCCCTTAAAGTAACCCAGTCTTAGGCCTCCATTCAGACACCCAAGTCAAATATGATGAGGATTACTGAAAATTTTATTCACCATATAAAAAAGTTCTACCAATCCCAAAGGATCAGACACATTACTTCCCAGGTTAATGAATATTCCAGATTTTACCCAAATACATGCTTACACTCAATTTTTATTAACTAAACTAAAAGTTATTTAAAAAGAAGAGAGAGTATTGGTTAAAAGATCAGTGTACATATACACATGAATATAGATTCATAGTAGAGGTGGTAAGCTTTGTAGTTGCAAAGAGTTCATAGTTTATAGTCCAATGTCCATTTTCAGGGTGATTCCAGATTAGGGCTGGAGACCTAGTCTTTGTCTTAAGCTTCCCCTGTGTGAAGCATCAAGCAGATCTGAGATTAAAAGGATCAGGACCAAAGGGGATTTTATACAGATTCAGGCCTTCTCTTGACAGGTCAGAGTCCTTTGGCAAACAATAGGCAATTATGGGGACTTTGGAAGTAGATCAATTTCCTAACAATCGTTGGTAATTACACAGATTAACATAAGGTAATTTCCTGTTTTTCATCATTCTCAAGTGATTTGCTACACATTTCAAAGAGAAATGAATACAGTGATATCCTATGTTTACAGTTCATCTAAATGTTAAGATGTCTTTTTGATCTCTGAATTAACAGAATACAGCATAGACAGGGTCTGTTTGATTACACTGTTAACCTTTAACAATATATATGTAAAAACTCCAACATTATCTACCAAAATGTCTCTAAGGGTTCAATTATCCTGCAGGATGCTTAACCCTTTCCTGCCAAGGGTCACATCATCATATTCCAAGTACCATCTCTAAGCTTTCTGAATGCTTTTGTGAGATCCACACCAGGTGAAGGGTGAATGGCTTCAGCTGAATCTAGACAGTAAGGCCCTTGCAACTGATGAAATTGTATTTTGATTTGAAGTTCAAGCAGCAACTTGCTTTTTATTCTACTTTCAGCATTTTTTTTAAATGCACTTATTTAGTGAAGTAGGTTTAAGAAGGTTACTCTTGAATGTTAGTGTATTCTTCTGATTGAAGTACTCATAGTTCAGGTTATCCTTAATGATGCTTAGGCAGCATTTTCCATTCTTGTGGAATGCAAAGAGAGGAAATGTAGTCGTATGTTTTGAAGAACAAGAGAGTTTGATTTTATATTACCTGTGCAGTTTCCTCATCTTCAAAATTTCCATAATAGATTCTCCTCTGGAAGGTAATATAAGTGCAAAGTAGTATCAAAGGCTATGAGAAGAGGAGGGGGGAAGGCTTTACATAAAATGTAAGTCAGATGTATTTCTTCTAGTTCCTTGTTAAAGCCCTTTAAATTAGAACCAGAATATCAACAGTATTAACCCTTTGTTTATGGTCTTCCTACAACTGATCTTTGTGCTGCTGTGAGCTATTAATACTTGATTGAGGTTTGGCGTGTTGGAACATGCTTAACCATTAATTTTCAAAGTTGTTTTAACAAAAGATGAATATAAACAATTAAATTATCCAGTTAATGGCACTACTATATATAAAATCAAAGATTTACCATTTAGACAGTGTTAGTCCCTTTCCTACTCCAACACATTTTTTTACAGATTTTGTGAGTTTAGATGTTACCTTATTTCTATAGTTTAACTTTATCTATGTAATAAACATCAGACTGAACTTACTACTTTATGATTCCTATCTACCCCAGATCCTAATTATCTACCCACAAGCTATTTCTTCTGATACCCACCATATTCTCTCCCCCCTCTTATATTCAGGGTGGAGTTTAACGAGTAACACCTGCCTCAGTGAGTCAGCAGGAATAAACCTGCCCTTCCCTGTCTCTCCTCATAGGAGAATCCTGCCAGCCTCTTACACCATTACATCAACCAGCCAATTATGATGAGTCATTAGATGCTATAACATTCAGAATACATTTGCAAAAGTCAGTATATAAGAATTCTTAATCAGCCCAAATTCTTCAACTGCCATAGTATGAGTGACAGAGAATGAACTGCTAGAGGACAAGCACAAGGAATTCCTAGTTTTATCAACCTCATGCAAAACCATCTGTAAACAATAATGAAAACTGCTGGTGTTGTTCCTATTTTAGAATATCCTCATTTAATAATTAAAATGTTATTCTCCATATTTGGATTTCTTCAGTGAGTTTAGAAACAGCAAAACACATTTTATCCTGTAACATTTTATTTTTGTTTTCTCATTAGTCTCAAAACATTTACTTTCTCTAAGTGAAATACCATCAGAAGAGTTCTATGTACTTCTACATACTTCATTGGGAGTTAGAGTGAGCCCTAATCTTTTCACAAACACTTTCTCTCAAATTCATTAGCAGTTAAAGTTTTCTCAAACTGAGATTCAGGTGTTTTGTGTTGTAGTCAGTTGAGTGTTGATCAAAAACAATTTGGAAATTGTCATGTTTTTAATCCGAGTTTTGTGCATATAAAAGTGAGTCGGAGTTAGGCTTCCTAATCTGAGGATATTGCCCCAAAAGTGCAACTCACAATTTGACTTTATGCTCTTTGAGGACATCTACACTGCAATTAACACCCACAGCTAGCCCATGCTTGCGGACTTGGGATCAGGCTAATGGGCTATTTAATTGCTGTGTAGACTTTTGGGCTCAGGCGGGAGCCTGGGCTCCAGAACCCCGTGAGATGGGAGGGTCCCAGAATTCAGGCTGTAGACCAAGCCAGAATGTCTACACTGTGATTAAATAGCACCTCATCCCGAGCCCCACAAGCCTGAGTCAGCTGGCATGGTAGTGTAGACATACTCTTTAAGTAGATGTGGCCTAAGGAATGTGTGTGAACATGCATCCAGGCATGCTCAAGCCTCCAGCTGGGATGTATAATCTCTTTTTGCATGTCTCTGCATTTCTGTAAGGGCCAAAACCCATCCTGGGATCAGTTCATTGTTTTGGCCCATGGGTGTTGCCTTTTCCAGATCTGCTCATTTCTTTCTCCTCTAATATGTAAAAATATGTTCCTATCTCACAGAGATATTGGGAAGTTTAGTTAATGATTTGTAAAGCACTTGGAACATTTCAGATGTGTATTACTAATGGTCCAGATCCACAAAGAGATTGATGAGAAGGGATTTGAACAAGGGTTAAACACCTCTCAGGTGGGTGCCCTAACAAACTAGGCTATAAAGTCACTTGTAGTGTTTCTGGCTCAATGCATATTTAATTATTTGTACAGAGTAGACTAGTTTCAACAGGAGCGATTGAAAGAGAGAGACAGTAGAATAGGGGTAGTTGTGTGGTTAGGGTGCTCTCCTGAAAGGAGGGAAACTCCTGTTCAAATTCCTTCACATCATCAGGCAAGAGAAGGAACTGAACCAGGATCGCTCATATCTTAGTTTAATACCCTAATCACTGGGCTAAAAGTGATTAGGAATCATATCTTTCTCCCCACTACGGGGTGAGTCCGGTGTGGAGTTATTCGATTAGACCCTGCATGAAAGAAAAGTGGGACAACACCTATCTTCCTATCGTTTGAGGCTCCTGCTGGAGTGAAGGCATGACATAGGCAGCTGCTTGCGTGCCTGAGGTAGCCATATGCATGTTCAGAGGCAGAAATGTAGGTGGCTAGGGAACTTTTATAGCTGAAATGTTAGCACTTGATGATTTTAGGCACCTAGTTAGCTGAGTGGAGGTTTTTTGGCTCATAGATGCCTAAATCCCAGATTGAGGCACTACTAAGCTCCACTGTGGCTCTGGGCAACTGCGTATTCGTACTCACAAGTCCCAAGGATGACTGGACCCCCATTGGGCTGGGGCTGTATATAGTAAAAGACAATCCCTGCCTCAGGAGTTTACTTTCCCTTTCTTTTTACGGAAGGGGAACGGGGCCAGGGAGAATGTAAGTACCCAAGGTCCCATAGGAGGTACGTGGTAGAGGTGGGAATTGAATCAAAGGCTTCCTGAGCCTAGGTCAGTCTCTTAGCCCCCTGGCGACCTCACCTGCGGTGGAGTCAAAGCCTTGCTAACTATCCCAAGGAGCTGCAGCTGGCCAGGGAGCCAGCGACTCTCACAAGGAACTATCGGTGTACCAGGTGCCGGGAGGGAACAAAACTGCCCTTCCCCCCAGTGCGTTAAGGGTTAATGTCTCTGTTGCTGTAGCGGGGCGCGGCTGGAGAGTGACCCCAATAAGACACTGCCCGCCCGGCGGGTCACAGCTCTGGAGTGGAGCGAGCCTGAAGCCCGGGCTCTCCAGCCCGCCCTTGTCCCCAGGCACCTCCCGGGCTCGGCTGCTGCCCAGCTGACAGGGTCCCAGGGCGGGCGGGGCTCGCCCTCGATGGGGGCAATGAGTTTAGGGAGCCCGCCTCGCCCAGAGGTCCCTAGCGCGGGAGCCTCGGCAGCGCTTCGGGCCGCAGGGGCCAGCCCGGCCTCCTGCCGCACGTGTGCTGGGGAAGGGGCTTGGGGGGCTGCTGCAGCCCGGGCGGCGCTCGCGCGCTCCCCCCCCCCGCAGTCTCCACCCTACAAGTCCGGCCCGCCGGCACTCACACTCCTGCCTGCCTGATCAGCTGCTGCCAGTGCCTCTCGTTCGGGCTGAGCCAGAGGATGGTACCTTAGAGCAGGAGCCGCCGCCGCCGCGATGGCTGCCCCGCTGCCAGATTTGCAGAGGAGCGCAGGGAGGGCTGCAGAGACTCCGGCTCCCTCCCAGGAGAGCAGCAGGGACTTGGCTCCTTCCCCCTGGCTAGCCCAGCGGGCTCCTCTCATCCCCCCTGCTGTGCCCCATCCCCAGGCGGGGCCCCGGCTCGGGCCAGACAGGTAAGGCTGAGAGGGTGGGGGGCAGCGGCTCTGCAGGACGGATGCCGGCTGTCCCTCTGCACCGTGGGTGGCTACAGGTGGCTCCAAGTTCCCAGGATCTGACAGAGAGAGATTCACTTTCACGCGCCGTCTCCCCTCTAGAGCCTCACAGGTGTCTTGCGGGCGGGCTCCCAAGCGAAAAAAGGCTCGGAGGTGAACGTGTGTTGGTTACACGAGGCGACGATCTTGTTCTGATGCTACTTACACCTAGGTGGTGTGTGTGGCTCGCACCACACCCTTATCAAAACCAACCAGAGGAAGCCATCGCAAAGGTCTGATGTCTGAGCAATAGTGAGGTCGTACAGGAACGGAACAAAAACTATTTGCACAATTTTCGGAAAATACCATCAAAGGTTTGCCACATCCAAGACAGAATAAGGAAGTTGTAGCTGGAAATGGAAAGAAATGTGAGGTGTCCTGTAGCAGAAGCATCTTTTTCTGTAATTAAAATACCCCCCCCCCTTTTTTTTTACACGCACAAGTCTTTGCAGGATAGGGACCTTTATCGTTTATGTGGCAATGTTTTAGGTCTTCGCTTCTTTAATTTGTTCCTTAAGAGCTTTAACCCACATTTTATTTTTTAAAGGTTTTAAAATTGAATCTTATCAGCAAAAACAAACAAACAAACAAAACAAAAACCATAAGCCATCAACTGCCACTGACTTTTTTGGGACATAATTAATATTGCTGTTTGTAGTTTCAGAACTTGATCTGTCAAGGCTCTGGGCAACATTATACACCACACTTTTTTTTAAAAAATGAAATGAACCAGCTTGTAAGATAAGAGAACTCCATTTACCAGGAACATCTACTAGTAATGCAGCTTCTGTAAGAGTTATAACCACTTAAAGTTATTTTTTTGTACTAGGTACTTTCACCAGTTGTTAAACTCATGTTTCAAAAGGAAGATATTTCAACTTGTATTAAAAGAAAGGTAGCTGTTAGGCTTTTATGAAGTGTCTGATAGTTTGTCTACATTAACTTCTCCCACACTTCAAAACATTGTGAACACAATACTGTCCATTCCTGCTAAACACTGTATATTCCCTGTAAACTAATGTTTTCTAAATACTCCAAGAAACAAAAGCCGCCTCAAAGGTGATTTAATGATGTGGAAAAGTCTAAACATTTTTATCATACCAATTAACAAGTGACCCATAGAATGACACTAATACAGTAATGAAGAGGTTAAATATTAACCCCTGTCTTCAACTCCCACAAATCGGGGGCGGGGGAAGGAATGCTTGCAAAATCAAATCAGGGTTTATCGTGTTTTGATTTCTATTGCCTAGAAGAATAGGTGCTAACTTATATTTTCCATGTCAGAAAATTGTGTAATGTAGCGTGCACCGCATTCTAAAAGCTTAGGTCTTACTGGTTAAAAATATTTATTTTTTAAATTAATGCATAAGTGATCTTGCAAAATGATTATGGAAGTGGTAATCTGCTCAAACGCTCACAGGTACTGGCTGGTGGTATTTGAAATAAATACAAACTTAGATTTTAAAAACATGACCCTATACTGAATCTTATAGCTAATTAAGGAGTCATCAAAGAAAGAAGACAAACACCTAGGCAGTTAGAGGCAGAAAGGAATATTTTTCCTATGTGAAATTCCAAGATATGAATCACCTTGGGACCTGACCCTGCAAAAACTCATGCAGGTGCTTTAACTTTTAAACAGATAGAACTACTCGTTATAGTAAAGTTAAGCACATGCGTGAGAATCAGGGGCCTGAAAATATTTGCAATACCTGAAGACAGAATGGACACACTTAAGCCCCAGTGCTGTAAAGATTTACACTAGCAATTAACTTTACATCCATGGGTTGTTACTGGGATTTAATTTCGTCTACCCCAGGAATTGAAATTAGAGGGGGTGTTCAATTTACGGGGGCTGGGAAGGGTTGGAAAATGATTAAATTGGCAACACTGTGACCACTGGGGGAGATGGGAGAGTTTGGAGGGTGTAAGGAAATCCTGAATGTGCAAAATTAATCATGTGCATTTTAATCAGTACAGCCTTTTGATTAAAAAAGTGCTAGCAATGTGACCAATAACTAATGTGGCAAATCCCCTAATATTAATGTCCTAATGTATACTGTATTTATTTAAACTATGTTGTATATTTTGTTGATGTAGGATCAAAAAGAAAGAGCTTGGTGTGTTGGCAATCCCATCAATTCCAAACCCTTTTCCTGAGCTATGTTGCTCTCCATTTTCATCGGTTTTGTCAGCCAGCCTGTTGCCCAAGGCAACTTCAAGAAAAAAGCAGGTAAGATTTATGTTGTTTTTTTTGTCAAAACACTGTTGGTTTTTTTTGTTCCATCCTTCAATTAAATATACAATTATCTACTTAACTGATCCAATTCTAAATAATAAACATTCCCAAGAAATTAAGATCTACAGTCTCATAAACAGACTATTAATGGTGGTGATAATGACTTTTTGGAATCCATAGACCAATACATCTAGGAGACTTGAATATTTTTTATAATTGAGATGTGACTGACTAATCTGTGACAAGTAAAGAGAAATCGCAAGCAGGTTATGCTTTGTCATCCTTAAATGAAAAATTAAATTTATACCTTGCCCATCATTATAATTAGACCATAGCAGCTGAGTGTCCACAGTAACTGAACAGCTTTTTATCTAAAGAGTCTAATGTTGTTAGTATAGCTGTAAAAACAAAACATATTGATAATTAAAGAGCTCGGATACCAAGCTTTTCACCATGTTAGGTGGATAGCGGGTTTATGTCCGTATTCTGTGGTATACATATACAATATTTATTAAGTGAATCTCTTAAATGTGAGTCAGAGGAAGCATTATCACAGCTTTCAAGAGTTCAGGTAGGATTTGCACTTCAATAGTGGGTCATCTTTTCTGGGGAGAAAAAAATAAGTTGTCAAACTATTCTTTTGTAGTCCATGTTCACTTATAACATGCTTGAGCATGGATGGATACTAGAGAGCAAGAGCAGTTAAGCTTTCATTTCAGCATTGAACACTGCTGCTTTCTTCAGTTCAAACTTTCAGTTTGTCTCTCAAAAATTGGTCCATCTCAACTCATCGGTTTCTTTTATTTTTGTGGGTGGAAGAAACTTTATCTGGGTGGAACACTCCCAGTGGTGCTACCTCCGGGTCATTGTCTCTGCATGCTCATTCTCTGGTTCTCTGTGGGATCTTTCCTGTGAGGTGTCTTAAGAGGCAGGGCAAGTGCAAGAGGAAGTAGAGCTGGTGAGTACCTACTCACTGTAGTACTGTTCCTTGCGCAACCTTCAGATTTTCACTAAGAAACTGTTGGAAGATAACATGGCTACCAGCAACGTTTATCTGGAGTTTACCCCCTCCATGGCTGCTGCTGTTCAATGGCATGGGGACTGCCAGTGGCAGTATAGCTTCTACTGGAAAATGTCCTCTGGGGGTATGTGAGGTGTAAAAATCTGAGGGGGCGGATCTCTTTGATAATCCCTACCAAACCCTTTAAACCTGTCCCCACAGGGGACTGTGTTCTGAAAGAAGTCCATCTGGATGGCATTTTTAGGCCCCTCTGGTTGTCCTAACATGAGAACTCCTGTCATGGAGAAAATCTGGCCCACTGTTCCAACTGCTGTGTCACTATGTCTCAACTTCTTCCCAGTCTTAGTAAGCTCCTTTGCAATATGTGTCTTGAGGCTGATGCAAAGGATAGGTACAAGGGGCTTATCAGCAAAATGCAAGGGTAGCACTTTGGTGAGATGCCAATTCCTGACCTCTAGGTGGTGACACTGTCCCTCTTCGGAAGCTCTGTCTTTCAATATTGGCCTCTGACAACTTCTTGCTTGTGGCTTAAAGAGCTTTGTCTTTCTCTCAACCTCCTTTTCCCCATGACAAGTTGTGCAAGAGTGTCCATTACTTTAACTTTTCTGCAGTCTCCCGCTCTGAAGGTTAGGGGTATGCGGTGGGGGACTGGAGGTAGAGATCACCACTACTTTATCCTTCCTCACCTAATTCTGTTTGGGGTCCTTCTCATCTTCACCTAGGAATAGCAGTGATGTTTGCTTATACTATTATTGCTCTGTTTTGCAATAACGGAGTAAAATTGACATAATTCTTGTCAGTTTCACAACTGCCCACAGGATTTTGAATGCCAACAGTGAAACTGAGTGCACACTTGTAATTTTAATGCCTGGGGAAGCTCTAAACAGCAGAAGAGGCAGGAAGAATACATGTTTGGAAAATTCTTCGCCATCATAAGGGCTAGAGACTTTTTTTTAAAGTAAGTTTAAATACCTCCTATTGATGGCTTAGACCTGTCTCTGCCTCCACTCAACATGGCAATCTTCCTACTTGAAACTAGTAAATGGATTTTTCAAGTCCTGCTTTAACATGCAAGAGCCCAAGTGCATGATGTTGTAGACCATCCAGTTGAAAAATATTGGTTTTCATTAGTTAACTTGATCCTGAGGTTGGTGTATGACGGGTGGGCAAACTTTTTTGCCCAATGGCCACATCTTGGTATGGAAATTGTATGGTGGGCCATGGAGGCTCATGGTTCCCGGCCAATGGGTGCTGTAGGGCGGCACTGGGGGCAGCGCTTGGGGCAGGGCAGTGCGCGGAGCCCTCTGGCTGCCCCTACACATAGGAGCTAGAGGGGGAACATGCCACTGCTTCCTGGAGCTGCGTGGAGCCACGGCACGTGCGGAGCAAGGCAAGCCCCGGACCTCACTTCCCGTCGGGAGCTCGAGGGCCAGATTAAAACATCTGAAGAGCCGGATGCAGCCCCTGGTCTGTAGTTTGCCCACCCCGGTGTATGAGTATAAATGTAAGTTTCATATCTTTACTGCTTTTATTACAGTCTAGTTAAAGGCTCTTGCCCTGGGACTCAAATCTTTTCGGTCCCATTCCTACTCTTTGTACTATCTTTTTGTCTCCCATTTAAGGAGAAAAATATTGGGTGTGTGGTAAAAGCAGAATCGGTGGATTAAAAATCTTGGGACTTCTTCAAAGATGGAGTTAAAATAACTGTATTATACAGGGCCTGATCCAATGCTCAGTAAAGTCAAAGGGGTCTTTTCTATTGCTTTCACTGGGCATTTGATCAAGCCCATTATATCTGTCTGCTGAGAATGCCAGCACTTTACCGATGTAAATTGCAATGAACCTATAGCTTACAGTTAAAGTAAAAATGCTTTAAGTCCAGAAATATTCTTATTAACCAAATATTGACTCTCATTCCTGTTTGGCTTTGCAATTCAGATTTAAACCTTCGAATACTTTTTTTTTTACAGTAAAGTATTATATCTTCCTTGCACATGGGTAAACAGATGTGCAGAGAGCTGAAGTACTTGTCAAAAGGTTTCACAGAATAAGTGTCAGATTCTCTGCTAAAATTCGTGAGTCCCAATTCCCAGTGGTTAGTTTAGCCACTTATTTTTACTCCTTCTTTGTAACAGAGTTGCAGTATATTTAATACATACACAAATGCTACTCTGACTATATTATACCTATGCTAAAGTATGTGAATGTTATAGTCTACTGGAAACCTCAAAGCCACCTGCAATAAAGGAATTCATTATCTCTCTAAAAAGAAAAATGTAATTTATGTTACTGTCAAATACTTTATTATATATAGTGCTCATGGCTAAAGGGTTTTCTCCTCTGATATGTTTTCGCAGACTGTCATATTAGACGCTTCCTTCTCACATTAATTTAGTTTCCTGATGAATTTAAGCAATAGAGACAAGTAAAGGAAAATTACAAAATTAGTCTCTACATAAGCCTAATGTATCATTGTCAGCCAAGTATGCATCATAGTCTTTACGATACACCCAGAGATGGAGTTACCACTTAGTGTTAATATTTTTAAGCAATCTTTCATTTTTGACTAAGTGTGAACTTTTACTTTCCCAAGCTGAAGTTTACTCTTCTGTTGACCTTTTGTCTCTGTTTAAAGCATTGTCAAACACACCACAGTGAATGCTGACTGACTAGGACACCTGTTTAATGGGACTGACTTGCCGGAATTGAGTTTACGTGGGCTACTAACTTGGTTTTATAGCAGAATGATCAATTGCCTACGATCTTGGGAAGTGGGACATCTGTGTTTAAACGTTATTGAGTTCTGCACTATCAACACAGCTGTCAGTCTCCCATTTCCTCATACAGTTTGGGGAAGTTTTGCATTATGTCATCATTGACTGCAATTCTGATATTATGGCAACATTTATTAGAGCAGAATTTTGTACCACAGGTGCCTGAAACTTACTGTTAAAACATGTTTCAGAGTGGTAGCCGTGGTAGTCTGTATCAGTAAAAAGAACAAGGAGTACGTGTGGCACCTTAGAGACTAACAAATTTATTTGGGCATAAACTTTCGTGGGCTAAAGTCCACTTTGTCAGATGCATGCAGTGGAAAATACAGTAGGAAGATATGTTTACACAGAGAACATGAAAAAACTAGGCATTGCCGTACCAACTCTAATGAGACTAATCAATTTAGATGAGCTATTATGAGCTGGAGAAAAAAACTGTAGTGATCATCAGGATGGCCGATTTCAAAAAACAGTTGACAAGAAGGTGTGAGTAACAGTAGGGGAAAAATTAGCATGGGGAAATAATTTTTACTTTGTGTAATGACCCATCCACTCCCAGTCTTTATTCAAACCTAATTTAATGGTGTCCAGTTTGCAAATTAATTCCAGTTCTGAAGTTTCTCATTGGAGTCTGTTTTTGATTTTTGTTGTTGAATTGCGACTTATAGGTCGGTAATTGAGTGACCAGGGAGGTTGAAGTGTTCTCCGACTGGTTTTTGAATGTTATAATTTTTGGATATTCTAATATTATAATTCATGGATATTCTAATGAACCAACACCATATAAACAGAATAGCTTTTGCTGAAGAAACTTAACACTCTTAAAATTTGAACAGATAAAACTACACAAGAGCTTTGGTTTAATAAAACAAATAAAAAAAGACTGTGTACTATAGGGCCAGTAGGGTCACAAGTCTTGGGAGCTGTACACTTTGAGGCACACTGGTACTTCTTTAACTAATACTGATCCATCTATTTTAGGTATTTGTAAGACTTGATTTCAGCAAGGAGCTACGTGGGTGTGGGATTGCACCTGGGTGGGGTTGATTGCAAGATCAGGCCTTGGTCTGAGAATACAAAAAGCTGAGTTGTATTGCTCTGCCTAGAGAAAACCAATCTGTTCCCTGCTTTCTCTTATTCTCTTTCCTTAGTGCATGAGTAATACAAGAACAGAGACAAAATCAGTGTCTGTCAAATTT